ATGCACACCCATGTTTATCGTGGCTTTGTTCACAATAGCAAGGAGTTGGAAACGACCTAAGTGCTCATCAACAAATGAATGAAGAAGATAGAGAAGCTGTGGTATATTCACACAATGGAATACTACGCTGCATTGAAAAACAAGGAACTCATGCAATATTATTCAAAATGGATGACCCTGGAGAACACTATCCTGAGTGAAGTATCTCAGTCACAAAAAGACAAATATTGTATGGTGCCACTGTTATAAAACAGGACTGACATCGGGGTTGGGGGAGACTGAGAAAGATGGGTTAAATAATGTATACTGCATTGAAACAGATGAGGGAGAAAACTTTAAAAGGGATATGTGATTAGGTATTTTGGTCATGATGAGAGTCCAGAGCAAAAGCTGCATAATGGAGTAGACCTGGGGGAGGTATTGTAAAATAATGAAAGAATTTTTCTTTTACTTTTTCAGGAGGGGCGTGTACTGGGGGGAAGGGTTGGAAGGGGAGAAAAGTGCAACAATGAATGAATGGAAATCCAAAGTCTCTGTAAATTTTCACTGAAATTAATAATAATTTAAAAAAAAAAGAATGGACAGTCACAGGCTTGCGGATGATCAAGCCATCTTTAATCCGTTTCCAGAGTTGTTGCAGAGACTTGGCACTGGCAATTTCATTGATCTCATTAGGATCCAACCACACTTTCTTCTGGCCACAGAGGAGGACACTAGAAGCAAGGCTCTTCTTCAGCATACTCAGTGGCTGCGGCCACAGTGCCCAAAGGAGAGAAGTTGAGAGTATAAATCTTTAAGGAGGAGACTGTCCCTCTTTCTACTGTGGAGAAACTAGTGGACCTCAGTACTATCAAGAAAGAATTGGCAGGAGTGGAGTGTGTCATTTCAGGACCCAGGTCTCTGCTTGAGAAAGCCTTAACACCAAGGAAAGAAAGCAGAGACGTGGGGAGTGTCACCAAGCCTCTAGATGCTGAAACAGGGACTTTACCACCAAAACAAAGAGACAGAGAGAGACTGTGGTGTCCCCTAGAGCTGAATTTGTACTTCCAGACTCCTAAACTGTAAGGAGTAAATTCCTGTTGGTAAAGCCATCTATGTGGACATCTCTGCTATAGTAGCATGAGGCAACCAAGACAGAACATGATGCTAGGAATATGGAGTGTTGCCCTAATATTGTTTGCTGTTGAGTTAAAACTGGCTCTTTGAGTCCAGCTGACCCTCTGGGGATTTTCAGAGGCTATAAATCACACAAGAGAAGATGGCCCATCCCATCTCTGTCCGGCAGAACAGCTGGTGGATTTGAACTGCCTACCATTGAATTGGTAGCACAACTCCCTACTCACTAGGCCACCAGAGCTCCTTGTGACTCTAATAATACTTAAAATGTCAACTCTATTTTGGAATTGGATAATGAATAGAGTCTGGAAGAGTTTAAAGGGCCTAATAGTAAAACCCATGATTGCCTTCAAGAGACTGTTGATATAAATTTTAAATGTCAAAGGCATTTCTGGTAAAGGCTCAGAATGAAAAAAGAGGAGAGTTTTAACAGTAGAGAAGGCACAGACATCCCCTGGGGAAACTCTCTTTGCATCTGATTAGGGCTGTGATTTTAACACCACAGACAGTACAGAAGCAAGAGCAGAGCCAGGGGATCATTACAGAGTTAGAAACTGACAGGAGACCGCATGGAAAGCCATCTCATACAGCAAGAAAGCTGGGTCTCCAGGCAGGAGGCTTCCTGGCTCCTAGTGGAGCACTTGGTGGACTTGTGAGTAAAGTGCCTTTGGGAAGATAACCGGTGGAGTGGGGTCCCTCTGTGCATTTATCGGAAGAGTCCAAGAGTGTGGTGACGTGTGCTGGAGCAGGATAGAGGCTAGGCTGGTCTCTTCAAGAGATCAAGGAGCCCTGGAGACAGAGCAGCCCCAGTCTGAAAGGGTAAGGCCATAGTCTCCTAGATCTCAGTGTGGGACCATGATTTCTGGGGTTTCTAAGGGTCACGGACACCTAGGTTTCAGAGTACACTCTTTG